CCCCCCCCCCTCCACTGTCCGATCCATGTTGGATCTCACGCCGGAGGGTTTTGAGGTGTCTTAGCTCAAAGTCCTCCACCGCCCAATGGGGGACGTTAGTATTTTTTTTTATGCCGTACCAATAGGCATTCAACCTTAGGTAAGCCTGTGCTTACTTGGACTGTACCCTCCTCATCCTCTGGGGGAGGTAGCGAGGGGGGAGGGAGGGCGCATGGCCTCTATTTTTCAGAGGGGGGTCGGGTAGTGGTTGGGGGTCGGGTCTATGTGTACTGCATTCTCGAATTGTCCCCTTACTATAGCTACTGTGGATTTTCAGTTTACAGCTATCCTCACTCAATGCGTCTATGTATCCGGCAATCTCCAATACAAATCAACCTGTGAGGTTTCAGTGTACAGCTTTCTCCACTCAATGCGTCTATGTGTCCGGCAGTCGCAAACGTCACTCAACCCGTTAGGTCTCAATATGCAGCTGTCCTCACTCAAAGCGTCTATGTGTCTGGCACTATCCAACATCACTCAACTCGTGAGGTTTCAGTATGTAGCTATCCCCACTCAGCGCATCTATTGTATGTGTCTGGCAAACTCAAAAACCAATCCATCTGTGAGGTTTCAGTATGCAGCTATCCTCACTCAACACGTCTGTGTGTCCCGCAATCTCCAATACAAATCACCTGTGAGGTTTCAGTATGCAGCTATCCTCACTCAACACGTCTGTGTGTCCCGCAATCTCCAATACAAATCACCTGTGAGGTTTCAGTATGCAGCTATCCTCACTCAACACGTCTGTGTGTCCCGCAATCTCCAATACAAATCACCTGTGAGGTTTCAGTATGCAGCTATCCTCACTCAACACGTCTGTGTGTCCCGCAATCTCCAATACAAATCACCTGTGAGGTTTCAGTATGCAGCTATCCTCACTCAAATCCTTTACGTGTCCGGCACTATCCAACATCTCTCAACTCGTGAGTGTAGCAATCCCCACGCAGCGCGTCTATGTGCCTGGCAAACTCAATAACCAATCCATCTGTGAGGTTTCAGTATGCAGCTATCCTCACTCAACACGTC